TTTTTTCATTCTTTAATGATATCTGCCTCTTCTTTTTGGATTGGTTCTTATTGTTGTTTTTTTTTTTTTCTTCTTCAAATTAGAATGTGTCAACTATACACGTGAGCTTGGGCATCAATAGCGTCATGACTCTTGCTCCTCTCAGCTGATTCATTGACCAATGATATCAGTCACTCTAGGGTAGTCGAGGAAGTACTTTGGCTGTGTTGATTTAACTTTTAGTTTTAGTTCTATGTGATTTTGGTCTTTTGTTGGATAGCACAGAAATTTCTGTTCTAGGATGGGTTGATTTTGCTTTTGGTCTTATGTCCTTGTGCATTTGGTCTTTGGTGGACAGTTGAACATATTAAAATTTATTACATATCTATTCGAACTCCAATAAATAAATGTTATCAATTTACCTCTTGCATTCATTCTGTAAGTAAATATTATTCCTAGTTAGAGGATAAACTCTGAAAATTAGAACCAACAGCTGGGCTTGAATACATAGGTTTTTTCTGTATCTAAGTTATGACTTTATACATAATGATGAGTAAAACTATGATTTTCTTTATCCTTTTTACTACAAAGTTCTATAGAAAAATGGAGTTTCTATTTATGTTTATCTTCTTGCAATCATAGATTAGTTAGAAGTTCAATTAGAATTTAAGTAGTTTTTGTTGATTTTATCTTTTGCTAGTAGACTGGCTAGTATAGTCCTGACATTTGGATTCTTGGTAACTTTATAAGCTATGATAAATGATAGGGAAATCAGATACGCAAAAGGAGAGTGAAGATGATAGCACAACTGAAGTGTTGCACAGCAAGGGCAGACCAGTAGCAGTAGCTTCTCTAGAGGTAGCGATATCAATTTGGCCTTCCTTAGTGGTGATATCAATTCGATCTTTATAAAAGTTGAACGTTTAAAATTACAGTGAATAAGTAGTCTATGTTAATGCAGGATACTTTCAATAAAATTCATATAATCATAAGAAACAAAAGCATCACCACAAGGGAGGGGCAACCATTCATGCTAGGAAGGCTCACAAAGTAACGAAGAAAAAGAAGGATGAAGTTAAAGGAGAAGTATTCAAGAAGCACCTGAGGTAGTGATGGTGATCTTTCAGATGACCACAATACTTGTGCTAAACTGGAAGACCATGATATGGACGATGACATATGTTGTTGGTTTCAAACATGCACATGGTACACATGTTTTGTTACCAACACAATGTCTGACAATGTCTGAGACTCTAGTTAGCATCTCAATATGTCTAGAGGTGTAAGGATGGTTATGTTAGCTTTTGGGATGGACACTTGGTATATTTACTGGATGTTACCTAAATCATTGATTAATGAAAATGTGTTTGGCCAAATCATTCCTCCTATTTGTTATGAATTCTAATTTTAGATGCGAAATAGGGAATATATGGTAATTGGTTCCTCACATATTGTTCCTCATGGGTATATGATTTTTACATGTGACGCAAGTTGCGCCACATATCAAAAGAATATGTGATGCTTTCATTCTTGCTTATGCTCAACCATAACATTCTAGGATCAAATTGGATGATGATAAATTCCTCATTTATCAATTTGATATGTGACGAACTTATAGGTCATTGAATTTTGTTTTTTGTGATCCTATTTCATCACACGTAAAGTTATTAAGTAACGAATGTGGTGTCACTAATACTAAAAATATGTGGCGAATGTAAAATTCGTCACTATACTATAGGTGACGCAAGCAGTGACGCTGGAATTTCATCACATATGATCAAATGTGACAAATTTTCATGTTTATGTGACGAATGTCTGTCGCTACCTAGGCCATGTTTTCTTGTAGTGGTCTTAATTCATTAAGGGATCGGTTGTATAAATTCTACAACAACACTGTGGCGTTGAATAAATTCATTAAGGCATCCGTTTGCTCCAAATACTCTGTCTTTTCTTAAAGCCTCATTCAAATCCTAAATCTTATTCTACCCCTTATGCTCTAAGCTTCTATCACATAGTTCTAAGCTTTTATTATCATATATTCTTATGATAAACTTTATTAAAAAAAAAAAAAAAAACAAGAAGAAGAAAGAAAATATTCTTGTAATAAAACTTATACGTTCACATAGGGTTGTTAGTTTTAATTTTGGGAACTGTTATTAGCACTCCACAAATCTCATTATATACCTCATAAGTGTTTTTTTCTTTCTAACTGTAAAAAGTTTGAAATGTAAAATGATATTTTTGGAGTGCCAATAACAATTCTCTTAATTTTAAATGAAACAAACTAAGAAAACTGTCTTTCTATAATCAGTTTAGACTCCTAGGAATTTTCAATTGGATGGAGAGCATCTTGTTGGCTTCTTCATTGATCCCACTTTGTTAAACAATGATGTTAATTCATTTGACGTAAGCCTCGTCTTTCTCTGGACATTAGAGCAACGACAACAATTAAAAAAGTTTTCTTGTGCATAACATAAATTATATTACAAAACTGAGAGTGACATCTTAGAGAAAAAGCTTTGAAATTAACTCTCTGTCTCTTCCAAATTTTTTTTAATGAGATCCACATATCATTTTTAGCCTTCAACACACCTATGTTTTTTTATTTATTTATTCAATCATCCGATTAAAAATCAATAGGGGTATGTAAGAGGAGAATAAGAGTGTAAAACATAATTATTTATTGAATTATCTATCCTCTATCTCTTTTCAATCACTCATTGTTTTTTTTTTAATCAAAATTTGAATCACTCATTGAGTAACCTTTTATGTTGACAGTGGATTTTGCTTTTATGAAACTAAACGTGCTAAAAGAAATTAGCTAGGAAATGAAATTAAAAGGTATTTCACTTTTCAATATTGGGAGAAGTTGTAAGTCCCAATCTTCCATCTCTGTTGATTATAAATAATATACCGAATGATAAAATTGACAAGAAAAACAACTCATGCTTGAAGTATGATTGCAACAGCAAGGGTGATCATCAAATCAATAAGCCGTTTACAGTTTTCATTTTTCTGGTAAATAATACAGTTATAGTTGGCTGGTGTGCTGCAACATCGCAATCGTAGACAAGGCCGTGTTATGTAATTTGAAGAGCCAAAGACAAGGCTTATGCTTTAAAGAGAGCAAATGACACCAGAGGTGTAGGGTAGGGTTCATACCATTCCAGAAACCAAATGATGCCACGTGTCAATAATTAGCAATATATTGTTGTGGTTGGTTGTCTTGCCAACAGAAATATTGAAACAAATCCATTGAAAAATATTGAAACAAATCCATTGAAAAGGTTGTTAGTACCTGTTTGTACATGGTATGGTTCATAGTTAATTCGGCAAGTAAATGACAGTAGGATTGAGTCGCTGCACACACGGAATTCTTTATATTTTCTCCATAATATATTCTTATGATAAACTTATTAAAAATGAAGAACAAGAGGAAATATTCTTGTAAACTAAACTTATACGTTCGCATAGTTCTTCATATTTACTCCATAATATATTCTTATGAAACAACAACAACAACAACAACAATAAAGTTGTATCTCCCTAAGTGGTGTGGGATCTATAAATCCTACAACATCATTGCGCTCGGTTTTGAGCTAAGTCCTCTGTTAGCTCTAAATACTCTATGTCTTTTCTTAAAGTTCTTTCAAACTCTTCCTAAAACTTCCTCTATCCCTTATGCTCTGAACATCTGTTGCATAGCTTTAGAGATAACAAATTAACTTATTGGGTTGTTAATGGGTACCCGTTAAAATCCGTTTAATTTGATATCATCATAATATAGAGGTGACATTAGTAGTAGTGATGATGATGTAAGGTGAAATCAAACTAAATGGGTCTTAATGAGTACCTATTAACAACCCAATGAGTTAATTTGCTACTTGATAGCTCTGAACCTCCGTTATCATATATTCTTGTAGTAAAACATACGATTGTTAGTTTTAATTTGTTTTTTTTTTTTTTTTGAAGAGAAACGATAGCATTTATTGAATAATCATGAGTCAATCAACATCAACGAGGGCCTCCACAATTTGAATCTGGAGGCTCCTCAAACCAACAAAACTCAATTGAAGAAGACACAGCCAATTTGGCCATACCATGTACTGATTCCTGGGGTCTTCTTCCATGGATCTTCTGGTGGATGGCATCCGTGCGAGTTTTAATTTTAAATGAATACGTTCGCATGGGTTATTAGTTTTAATTTTAAATGAAATAAACTAAGAAAATTATATTTTTATAATCAGTTTATTGTTGTACTCTTAGGAATTTACAATTGGATGGAGAGCATCTTGATGGCTTCTTCATTGATCCCACTTTTAAAACAATAGTGTTAATTCATTTGACGTAAGCCTCCTCTCCCCCTAGATATTAGAGCAACAACAACAACTAAAAAATGTTTTCTTGTGCATAATATAAATTATAGTACAAAACTGGGAGAGTGACATCCTAGTTAAGCAGCTTTGAAATTAACTCTGTCTCTTCCAAAAAAAAAAAAAGTTAAGAGAAATGATTTTTACATATCATTTTTAGCTTTTTACACATTCCTACTCATTTCTATTTATTGATTTATTTAATTCACTAACTAGAAATCAATACGGGTGTGTAGAAGGAGAATAAGACTGTAAAATTACCTCTCAAAAATTAAGGCGACTAAATTTTTGGCATCTTCACAAGAAGAGTATAGTGATATTTCTTTGTACTTGTAGGTGAAAGCTTTTAAACATGACTTTTATAGATGACAAGTTTGATACCGAATTACTATAACTACTTGTTGGATGATTTAGTCCAAAACTTCGATTCTTTAATGTGAATATATTATTTCATTAAAAAAAATTGTTCATACAACTGTGATTTTAGGAGTTACACTCTTCCTAGTTGAGACGCCGAATGGAACAAGTCAGCATTGTTTTTAACACCCCCACTTGGCATTCTCTCATCAAAGCCGGCCTTCGCATTCCCTTCTTTTAAACTACACCCACCAAACTCAAAACTTTCAATTCGAATATCACTTCCTCCTTCAGTACTTCATGTGTTTTAATTTCTTCTATACATCATAAGAACCCTAAAAACTCATTGATCTGAAGCCAAAGTGAAAATCAAAGAAAGATGGACAGGCTCATAAGTTTGGAGCCATCAAACTTCGTTGCAATAAGGATCGAACCGGGACAGAAATGTTATGGCCAGCTCACTTTACGCAACGTTATGTACACTATGCCGGTAGCCTTCAGGCTCCAACCGCTGATCAAGAATCGTTACACGGTGAAGCCTCAGTCCGGGATCATATCTCCTCTCGAGAAGTTGACCGTAGAGATTGTTTATCACCTTCCACCGGGGTCCAGCCTCCCCGACTCCTTCCCTTACTGCAATGACTCCTTCCTTTTGCATAGCGTGGTTGTGCCCGGAGCAGCGATCAAAGACTCTTCTTCGACATTTGATGCTGTCCCAAACAACTGGTTCACCACAAAGAAGAAACAAGTGTTCATAGATAGTGGTGTCAAGATTATGTTTGTTGGTTCACCTATTTTGGCACAACTTGTGTCCGATGGTTTGATGGATGATATTCGAGAAGTGCTTGAGAAGAGTGAAACTTCATGGAGAGCTGCCGATTTCGTGGATTCTGAGGGCCAATCTTTGCTTCACTTGGCTGTTGCTCAAGGACGGCCTGACCTAGTCCAGCTGCTTCTTGAATTTGAGCCTGACGTGGAGGCTCAAAGCCGATCGGGGTCTACCCCACTAGAGGCTGCAGCCTCAAAAGGAGAAGCCTTGATAGTCGAACTTCTATTGGCCCGACGTGCCAGCACTGAACGATCTGAGTCCTCCACTTGGGGCCCCATTCACCTTGCTGCCGGAGGAGGCCACGTAGAGGTTCTGAGGCTTCTTATAATCAAGGGGGCTAATGTTGATGCGCTAACTAAAGATGGTAGCACAGCTTTACACCTTGCGGTGGAGGAGCGAAGAAGGGACTGCGCAAGGCTCTTATTGGCGAGCGGGGCAAAAGCTGAAGTTCGTGATTGTAGAGATGGTGACACGCCTTTGCATATCGCAGCTAGCATGGGGGACGAGTACATGGTGAAGCTGTTGCTGCAAAAGGGTGCCAATAAAGATATCAGAAACTTTGCCGGCCTAACGGCCTTTGATGTTGCGTCGGAGAATGGACACACGAGACTATTTGATGCTCTTCGACTTGGTGATAGCTTGTGTATCGCGGCGAGGAAAGGAGAGGTGAGAACAATTGTAAGGCTGCTTGAGACAGGTGCGACGATCAATGGAAGAGACCAACATGGGTGGACTGCTCTCCATAGGGCATGTTTCAAAGGGAACATTGAAGTCGTTCGAACGCTGCTCGAAAAGGGTGTGGATGTGGATGCTAAAGATGAGGATGGATACACCGCGTTGCACTGTGCAGTAGAGTCAGGACATGCGGATGTGATTGAGATGTTGGTAAAGAAAGGAGCTGATGCTGAAGCTCGAACTAACAAAGGTGTGACCGCACTGAAGATTGCTGAGTCTTTGCACTATGCTGGGATTACTAGGATACTTATTTATGGAGGTGCAACAAAAGACAATAGTAATATGGCACGTATCTCAACCCAAGCCTCAGTTGCATTTGGGAAAAAATCTAAGGGACTAGAGGAGGACATCATCAAACGAGGGATGAAGAAGAAGAAATCAAGTCGTGCTAGAGCTCTTCGTGGGAGCTTCGACCATTCAATCCCATTGGCTGTTCTTTAGCTAGCAAAACTGGAACATATATTGGTGCATGTGTATTTTGAATTAGGGTTTGTCACATTTAGAGCTCACAATGACGTTGCTTTGGGTGAAATTATAGGCGGAAGAAATTGTAGACTCTTTCGTAATATATTCATTCTAAAAACACCTAAATACGTATATTTTGTTATTAAAACAAACTTGATCTATGTCACAATTGATTGTGATTCCTTGTATGTATGCTAATAAGTGGATGTAGTTGGTTTATATTTGTCACTTGATAAAAGATGATCATAACATAAATATATATATGTAGTCAAACCAATGTACTACAAAATATGCACGAAAGCAATGAGAAGACCGAAATTTTGCAGTATATTGCTTGTTTGAATCCACAATATTATAAGCCGGCAGTAACAAATCATCATTTACCAGCTTAGGGTAGAAAGGATAATTAATCTCTTCTGGGAGGAAGAGATATTGTACTAAATTTTTTCAATAAAATCTTAACAACGGATTCTATTAACTGCACATGCAACCACCACACAGGCCAAAATAACCACACAAGAGCTTATAGTGGCTCGGCCAATTGTGCTTACAGTCACTCTGGTGATCGCCTCAAGAAATTTCACTAGCAAAGAATAGGAACTGCTATGGATGCAACCCCCTTACCTCCTATCGAACCCTAGGTCTTAACGTCTCTCACACCCTCCGAATCAAACCCTTTGACTCCCCTTATGACTTGTGTGGGAATTCGATAAAACCCGAATAGCTCTCTTGTTCTTTGAAATCTCATGTCAAGTCTATCTCCCACACCACCCCTATCCTATTTACAATAGGAATTGAAACAGTAAATAAATTCTCAAAAATAGGAAAAACCTAGAATTCATATATTCACTTATCGCAACTGTTGGTATTCAGACCATCTTCATCTTAATTAAAACTAGAATAAAAAGATGGACATATGAATTAAGGCAGCAGCTGCAGAGAAGAAATAGAGAGCAGAAGAGATATTTTCTGATTATTTCCTTTTTGGGTAGTGCTCCCAGTGCATAAGACAGCTGCTAAGGCTGCAGGGCAGCAGCATTAGAGCAACTCCAATGTTGCTTATTGCCTTGGAGATAGACAACCTGATCCACTCCCTCCTCAAAATACTCTAGCTCAAGCGGGTAATTGGGCTCAAGGCAAGTCCGATAGAGAAATTAGGCAATAATCGTATGACTTCGTGCCCTGCCTATATGATACAAGGTTGACGTCAACCACAATTTAAAGTAATAAAAGATTATAAAAATTATTACAAAAAATTATAATATACCAATTAAAAATATAAAAGTTATATTTTTTTCTATACCTAACCATGTTCTTCCACTTACATTTCAATATTTTCAAATACTTTCAACCAATTTTTTATTATTATCCGAAATTAAAAATAAAGTTATCTTTTATTAGTTTATAAAAATAAAATAATTTTAATACGAATTGTCTAGCTATTCCATTTAAAGGTATGGAGATGCACTTGGACAATTACTGTTCATTATAGGCAGTTATTGTTCATTTAAGGGGATTGAGTTGCCTATTACCCATCGGGCTTTACTACACTGGAAGTGCTCTTATAATTCATCTATGCCATACATGTGGCAACAAATTAGAGTTTAGATCAAAATGCAAATTACCAAACTAAACCTACAAAAATACAGCATAGTACTAACGTTATTGTGAAAAACAAGACATGGGAGCTAGTGGACAAACCTTGTAACAACTTCGTTATTAGAGTGAAGTGGGTTTATAAGACTAAACTCAATCAAGATGGTTCCGTTCAAAGGAACAAAGCTAGATTGGTAGCAAAAGGTTATTCTTAGAAATTCGGGACTGACTTCCTAGAAACCTTTGCATCGTTAGCTAGGCATGAGGCAATTAGAGGTCTTTTTTCTGTAGCTTCTCAAAAGGGGTGGTTCCTACACCAACTCGATGTCAAGTCCGCTTTCCTAAGTGGAGTTTTAAAAGAAGAGGTGTTTGTTGACCAACCTCAAGGATTTGTTCGTAAAGGACAAGTGCACAAGCTGTACAAGCTTAAGAAGACACTTTATGGCTTGAAACAAGCTCCAAGAGCATGGTATGGAGAGATCGACTCATATTTCAATGAAAGATAATTTCAAAGAAGTGAGAACAAACCTGCCCTCTACGTTAAAACCAAAGGTACTTCAGATATCCTTATCGTTTCTTTATATGTTGATAATTTGGTTTATACTGGAAGTAGTGATAGAATGATCTTGAGTTTCAAGAATGTCATGATGATGAAATATAAGATGAGTGATCTAGGCAAGTTGCATTATTTTTTGGGAATTGGTATCATTCAACCAGATGATGGTATCTTTATTACTCAGAAGAAATGTGCAAAAACGCTTCTATAGAAATTCAAAATGGTTGCTTGTAAGCCTGTTGCAACACCTCTAGGTATGAATGAAAAGTTTCAAAAAAAAGATGGTAGTGGTGATGTCGATGAATCTATGTATAGAAGCCTTGTAGGGAGTTTGTTGTATTTGACAGCAACTAGACCTGAGATATCATGTATACTGCAAGCTTGTTGTCTAGATTTATGCACATGCCTACTCGCATTCACTATGAAGCTACAAAGAGAATCCTATGATACATACAAGATACACTTGACTTCGGTACTATGTATGAAAGAAGTGTTGAGCCAAAACTGTTTGTGTTTTGTGATAGTAATTGGGGAGGTAGTGTGGTTGACTTGAAGAGCACATTTGGTTATACTTTTACAATAAGGCTGGTGTATTCTCTTAGGTGTTTAACAAGCAAAAAATCAGTTGCACTATCAATTGCAGAGGCTGAGTATGTGTTTTGACTTCAATTGCAACTTCTCAAGCAGTGTGGCTGAGAAGAATTATGCAAGACTTTGGTGAGAAACAAGAATCAGCAACCCCTATTCTTTGTGATAACAAGTCCGCTATTGCCATGAGCAAGAATCATGTCTGTCATGGCAAATCAAAACATGTTGCTCTGAAACATCACTAACAAAGGACAAATTCATCTACCTAAGAGGACTTCTGAGAGTGAAGCGATAAAGCATTAAGAAGGGGTGTTAAAGCTAACAGCAACACCAATTACAAAATACTATCACACTTAAGTTTTTTTTTTTTTTTTTTTTTGAGAAATGTCGATGATACGAGAGAATATTATTGATATATATATAAAAAATTACAGCTAATTAAGGGGACAATCATACCCCTAACCTTTTCAACTGCTAACCCTTTCCATTTTCACTTCCCTTCTTTTTTTCTCATGAATCCTAGATTTCATTCCCAACGTTACTTCAATGTCAAAAGTACATAGATTTTTTTTTTTTTTTTTACCAAACAATATTATCTACACTAAGGGGGTGGGGGAGTGGGCGAAGCCTCACAATGGACTAGCAATAATGTGGTTGAAATTCGCCTTAGGCGAGAATCGAACTTAAGATGTTTCACTTACAAGTGAAAAGGAATACCACTAGACTGTATGGTAATGCTAAGTCACAAGAAGTACATAGTTAAGAAACAATAAAAGAGAGGAAAAATAAGATGATAAGCTTGGACCTTTGTAAAAAAATTTCAGTTTGAAAACCACCGAATATGAGGAGAAGTCCACCAAAGAAAAAAGGCACATCCTACTGTTTGGTATGTTGACGGAACGCACTCGTCCCACGTTTGGTGTGCCAATTTGCCTAGGACATGTTATACTGTGGAACAAATTTTAGTCAATTTTTTTGTACCATCCTCCCCTTGAAACGACTTGTTCCAGCCCATGAAACACAAAATTATAACTTTTTGGACAACAATACCCCTCATCTTTTTCATTAATTTCACTATTTACCCTCTCTCTCCCGTAGCCTCCCTCTCTTCTACCCTCCATCTCTCTTGTAGCCTCCTCCTTCTCCACCACAAACCCAGCAACCCAGGCTAACCCAATCCCAGTAAACCCATTTGAACCTAACCCCACCTTCCTCCAGCTGCCTCCCTACTCCCTGCTAGTCTCACGATAAGACCGTCGCCCTCCGTTGCAAAAACCTCAAGACTACCCACTCGCAAGACATGGCCATCGTCATTGCTCTAGGGATGTGACAGCAAGGATTAGGCAGAAGATGTGAGGGATGACGTTGAACTTGTCATGGTGACTCAGGTGAGGTCAAACTCGTCGGAGTGGATGGGTACGATTGTCATTTAATCATTCGTTCCATTCCGGCCTGAGTGTACACCAAACATAGCATGGAACCTCTGTTATGTTCCGTTCCGTTCCATTCCGTCCCATTCTGTCCCATTCCATCCTGTCTACGTACCAAATGGTACCTTATATTCTTGCTTGGCTTGGAAGCCATCTTATAGTTCAAAACAGGTGTACTAAATTTTCATAAATCAAAGAGGGATTTTCCAAGTAAGATGAACTAATAAACGTTCTAGTTTGACTTCTTTCTTTCTTTCTTTTTTCCGTCTATGCATACATTTTTAAAATATTGTTAGGTTTTCCCTAAAGAATAGTTTATGACTAATACACTCAACAAAATTGTATCACCACAATTAGTTAATTACATATGTATTAAACCCAACATAAATATCTATGTTGTATCGCATTCACATGAGTCGAATTTAAGCAACCTCCAGTCAAGTGGTAACAACTATCTCAAAGCTTAGCTATTTCTTTATTTCCTTTACAATATGGACTATGATTGCGTTATTTTGTACAACTAATGTTAAGAAAGGACTTAAGATCTTCCTCTTTAACTCATTTCATCTTATGTTCAAACTTGATCTCTCCATCTTTTTGTAACATAAAGTAGTAATATCACTTATACAAAAATTAAAATACAAGAAAGAAAGAAAATTAAACTTTTGAAAGGGTTGAGTTTTGGATGTTGGAATTCTTTTTGGGCAGTGGACAATCGAGTAGCAAAACCAAAAGGGAGCAATCGGTTGTTGGTGTTGAAGATGAAAAGACACCTTTCTAGCTTTCCATTTTGTAGTCTCATAGACCACCAACCATGAATTATAAAAGGTGGGTTGGTGATTTTAGGTATTTTATGTGCATCAGGTCCATAAGCTGACGTTATGTGCATCTAGAATAATTACTAGGAGAAATCTAAGCACAAATTTTAAAATGGACAGATAAATTTTTTTTATACGTATCATTATTTTAAATATTTAAACAATAAGCACAAAAAAATAAAAAGTAAAAAAAGATGTTTTGTGTCACATCCCGGCTTGGGCCCCCACTACATTCCGGGCCCGCTCCACCATCGTAACACGATATTATCTGCTTTGGACCCCGACTACGTCCTCACGGTTTTGTTTCTTGGAACTTAGACAAGAACTTCCCAATGGGTCACCCATCATGGGAGTGCTCTCGCGGGCTACTTGCTTAACTTCGGAGTTCCAATGAACTTCGAAGCCAGTGAGCTCCCAAAAGGGCTTATGCTAGATAGATATGAGAATATACATATAAGGCTTACATGATCTACTCCCTTGGGCGATGTGGGATGTTACAATCCACCCCCTTAGGGGCCCGACGTTCTCGTCGGCACACTTCCGACCAGGGATTGGCTCTGATACCAAATTGTCACATTCCAGCCCGAGCCCCCACCACATCCCGGGCCCGCTCCACCACCGTAACACAATATTGTCTGCTTTGGGCCCCGACTACGCCCTCACGGTTTTGTTTCTGGGAACTCACATGAGAACTTCCCAATGGGTCACCCATCATAGGAGTGCTTTTGCGCGCTACTCGCTTAACTTCGAAGTTCCAATGAACTTCGAAGCCAGTGAGCTCCCAAAAGGCCTCATGCTAGGTAGAGATGAGAATATACATATAAGGCTTACATGATCTACTCCCCTGAATGATGTGAGATGCTACATTTTGCTTGTAATGTTTTTTTATTTATAAATAATATATCAAACTTAAGAGAATAAAACGTAATTATGCGAGATTAGTCCTTCCCAAGTTCCCTGCGTGTCATAGAGTGCAAGCGTCTACCCTCAATCCAAAGGGAGAAGGGACCAATACAAACGCCCGCCCACTATATCCTAGCATTTTTATTGCAAAAGCAAGAACAAGCAAATGCAAACCAAACCAAAACCTCTGGGACTTTTGCTTCTTAATGATAATAAGTACATGTGATCATTATGTGCCGATCTGTACTAAAAAAATGAGACCATACAAAACAAAAATTTACATGTCTTTGTTTCTTAACATGGAGATGTCATATAAATCATTCTTCTCCAAAAAAGCATTGTACGCACAATGTTTATTTGAACTTTGTTGAATAATATTATCTTGATTCACCACAGATAAAAGACAAACCGAAATGCTTTTAACTCATCAAAGATCATGAGCGCAGAAGTGCTAGCATAAAAAAAACAAATAAAACAAAACCCAACACACACCATTCCCCAAAACAACAACTAAGCAAATTAACAACAAACTCCACGTCACTATTTACCATCATATTTCCGGTCATGGTTGACTCCTTAGATCGATCTTGGTGCCATTATAACACTTGACAACTATCTCTAAGGTCTCAGAGCTGCCAAAAAAGTCAGAGAATATTCTTTAATTACATCGTCGTTCTCATTAGTTTTATTCATCAATCCTCACACCCGTTACACAACAAAGAAGAAATGAGAAGGGAGAGAAATAAAAGCGGAAATAATTCTCCATTATTTTTAGTACTGGGCAGAAACAAAAGAATCAATTTCTAAGAGCTGAAAACCTACCATCCGAATAACACACTCAGCCTTGACATTTGCATTGGACTTGATGATGATGCCAAGTTAATAGGAGTGGTCAGCTTAATTTCACTTAACTAGTCAAAGCCAAGGTTACAGCCTAAGGGTCTTTGTTTTTCTAATTCATATTTAGTTTATTTTTTAATTCCTTAACAAAATTAATAAACGATAATTGAATAAAGCTTGTGGGATAGATGACAGATGAAGAGAATTGGGTAGCGTACACACAAAAGAGAATGTGGGTAGCAAAAATGCACCCTTACTATGAACTCTCCAAAAAGTAGAACAACACATGTAATCAATGAGGAGCTTAAAATCGCTTTTAACAGTTTAACTAGAGCGAATCTTTGTTGAACCATAAAATATATAGTTTTTAATAACGTTATTCGTCGAATGTATATTTATCACGTATTTAAAATGTAAACCATTCATCAATAAACGATTGAAACATAGTAAATCAGCGTCAAAAGAATGCCTCTCCCTTGAGGTTTTAACTGGGATGACGAACCTTATTCATGTATTTTGTATAATGTATGTACTTTGATTTGGACGGATTGATATCATTAATAAGTGATCAGCAGTAGTGATAATGTACGTTTTGTGCATTGGGAATGTAGGAGAATTCAAATGAAAAGGTTAATAATTAAATGGAAAACGACAACAAACTGCAAGCAATCTGCGCACAAGTATCGGCAACGACCGACGAAGAAAAGGCCATACGGTACACTGCATGCACTGCCCTACTGTACTCTTAAGTTATCTCCTTCAATACTTTGCCAGTTGGATGACAATTGACACGTATACGTCATGATATAAATGTGTTAACTTTTTACATTAGTATTCTTATATTATTAATTTGGAAACTTCAGTGTAGCGGTAAACTTAGATGAGAAATGATAATGTGATTTTTTAAAAAATGGGATTCTTTATAGATTTTTTATTATTTTATATTTTTGACATAATTTTGTATTAACATTATAAATTATTATGTAAAAATAAATAAATAAATGATCAAAAATCATAAAGAGTCTCCATTTACCTTCTTAGCATTTCTCTACCTAATACCTATGTTACAAGTTGAACTGCTTTTTGTGACATACGATAAAACGTGTACTTCAGTTGCCCTTGACAAAATAAAAGGAGCGTGGGCATCAATTTTAGTTCACTCCAAAACCATCAGACAATAGCATTGATGTTCTAAATCATGCAATCATAAATCTTTTGGGATGGGCGTGTTTTGGAGATATTTTTTTAATATGATCAGTATATGAGGTGATACATCATATGTTATTATATAAATTATGAAATATGTCTGCTAAAAAGTTAACAATTTACAAAATAAAATTTCTCACCACTCCTATTAAAATACATTGTATATCACTTGTATTCCCATCACAATTAAAATTTTTTCTATGTTTTGATAGAGAGAGAGATGGGGCAAAGGCAGAACTCCTAGTACTACCGACACTCAGCGTGCGTGCCATGCACGACTGAATCTAGCCGCGTTTGCCGAAGCCATTCGATTCAAAGCAGGTCAATTTCTTTTGTATCACCGTCACCGACATTTCTATAACCCAATTTAATATAGAAAAAAAACTTTATTTATGGATGATAATCACTTCTCCTTTCTGGCATTCTGTATCTGCATATTCTTTTATTTCTCTTTTACCTGAATTTTGATGCATAATAACCAAAAGTGTCCCACTTTTTCAGCTGTTTATTTAGCCTCCCACAACGGGCACTACTGGTTATATCTTATTTATCTATATTAGTATATGCCCGTTAAATTTTTTATTTTTGTTTTTAAAATTGAAAGAGGGGGGAAGACAGTGAGAGGAATTAGAAAAACATTATGCTTTAAAAACTTTAGTCAAGAAGTTGGGATTGCAGCAATCGCAACTCTTGTTTTGCTAATAAAGCTATGTTCAAAAGCGCAGAACCCGCACCTTTCTGTTCAACAGCGCAGAAACCGCACTCTTGTTTTGTAGGACCGTGCGTCCGTTTTCTTCTTGATGCAGTCAGACTACTACGTACCCAGCTCGGCAGCGGTCTGGTCTCAGACAATGCCTAAAGGAACCAATAGCTAGCCCTCACACAACTCAAAGGCTTCCGGAGAGATCCTGTAAGGCATGGTTCAACTAATGATAAGAGTAAGACTCTAACTACTGAAAAGCTTTCACAATCTTATATCCCAGATATTTGTTGTTTCTGACCTGGAAATCTCATACGTACGTGGAATGCACATGTGATAGAGGAAAAAGATAAGGTGGAGAGATGAGTGAGAAAGTTGGAAGGGTTCATGTTGTTGCTCTAGTGGGCGTCATTCCACATTAAGTTTTGTAAGCATGATTCTAGTATTAGTATATCAGATAGCAAAGTGGTATTTACTTTCTTAGAGCGACTATGTTATTTAGTTATTATAATAAACTCAAAGAGTTTACAAGAGACGTGGCTTTCTAAACGCAGTTAGAGACTAGAGCAGCGTACTCAATTTTTTGTACTCAAGTTTGACTTTATCTCCTAGTAAGTTTAGATTTTTTATCGGACATTTCTCATAATAAGTTAAAATTAGATGTTAAAAATTGAGTTAAAATGATTTCTTATAATTTGCCCATTTTTTTACAACTTACAATGCTTATATGTAAAGGTGTTCCGTGTTCTCACCAAGTTATTTAACGTTGTCATCTAAATTTAGTTATGAAATGAGCTAAAAAAGACGGTTTGATGAAAATAGCATCACTATTTACTTATAACTATAGAACTTTTAGTCCATTCAATCATTTTTCTTAAGTTAAGTTGAGAAGCGTAACCGATTTTGTTCATATTTAAGTTTGAATACAAGATTAAAGTCAAACCATGATGCAACTTTAAAATGTTCGTGACCTAAGCTAAAACAATAGATTGCAATTAGTTGTTTGTGTGAAGAAATTAATATCTTTAACTTAATCCATTTTTACGAGAAAAAAAGGACCAAAAAAATTCTACTTCCTAAATTTTTTTAGATTGTATTTGATTATGATTGGATTATAACACGTTTGTTGGTAATACTAAAGACGATAGTTATTGTTGTTACAAACTACGTGAGATCAAACTAATATTACCACCAGTAGCCCAATCAATGAGCAAACAAAATAGAAATTGAGAAATGCTAAGAAAACTTTCTCAAAATAAAACTCTTTATGAACTCTCTGACACTTCATAGTTTACATTAATTCACGTGCTAACATTATTAAATATTGTGCCAAAAACATAAATTTAGTTGCAGAGAATCCATAAAAAGTCCTACTTTTGAAAGAATTTCCTCTTTACCCAAACCATGCATATCTAACATGTTAAGAACGGATGTTATTATTTTGGAAAGCTTAACAAGAAATCCTAGAAAAATCAAAATCATGTGGCACTCCCTCTCATGCTTACAGTTATTATTTTGGAAAGCTTAACAAGAAATCCTAGAAAAATCAAAATCATGTGGCACTCCCTCTCATGCTTACAATTTACTAATATTATCGTGCGTTTTAAGTATAAAATCTGGTCCCATCCCACAATGTTTACTACATTAAACAAATAATTAAATTTAGAGAAACGTTAATCTCCCAACAATAGTGCAAAAAAGTGGCTCTCCCCGCCACCAACCCCCACAAACTAGTCACCAACTCTAAAGCCAACACCAAAAAAAAAAAAAAAAAAAAAAAGCCCTCACCAACTTTCTCCCATTATTTTTTTTACAATTATTTCCAATCTTCTTTCTTAAAAATTAATTTTGAATAGACTACCGCTTACTTTTACTTGTATAATTAATTTTCATTTTACAGAAAATCACCAAACATTTTGGAAATACTTTAACTAATATTTGTGGATGTTCCCACCAAATGCTTTTGTGGCGCGTACCGTATTTTTCAATACAGCACCAATCATGGACGGTTTACACTTGTCGTCATCATTTGAGTAGGTGATCAAGATATCGATAGATTTTTTAGTGTACCGGAATTATAATTAAGGACACAAAGCATGTTGGTTAAAAACTTTTAAAAATATTTCAACTAATTTTATATTACATGTGATGTATGCACCGTGTTTCTAACAAACGAAAAGCATTTCTCCTCGATATCCTATTCTTGCTTACTCCTAGCCTGCCAACTCTCTGTTTCTCTGTTTCTTATGTATATAGTTAAGAGTTTTAATATTTTCCATCTCTATGGTATTGTATGTCTCGTGTTATTAATTAGGTCACGTGTCTTTTTTAAAGATGTTCTATCTCTTGATATTCACAATTGGGTACGAATAGTTTTCTCTATCATATGTACTACATATGGGGTTTGATAAAGATTATTTCTCACACATTATTTATTAAATTTTGTCATTAGATCTTTTTTAATTCATTCGATTCGACGGTCGAAAATTAAGAAGAAAGCCAAAAATTTAAATAAATAATTTTGTAAAACTTTCTCTTCTTTTTCTTGCAAATGATAATTATACCAATCAAATAATACATTTATGGGTGAGTATGATTTAATTTGGATCATCTCACCCATCTCCGGTAATTAAACAAACAAAGTAAGTTTCCTTTCATTTTCGGCCATGAATGTTCTCCTAAATACGGTCATAAAATTTGAGTTCATTCAAAGCAAAAGGCCTAACAGATGATAAAAAGATTTTTTTTTTTTTTTCTTTCAAGTGTTTCTATAATTGTATTATAACACGTAATATTTTGCTTTGTATTACGAGCATATCAAGATAACCCACGCAAAATAAGTTTAACTCATCCTCCTCCAGTCTCAAATCTAATAAAAAACTATTTCCAGTCTCCAGACTCTCCACCCACTCCCCCAAACATCAGGGTGGGCCCCACCATAGGCATTCACCCACCACAACAAGCGCTTCATCTGCAAAATAGTAAAGAAACCGCCACAGATTCAGTGTCTTACCATAAATAAAAAAATAAAAAAATATTATTAGCAATTTTTTCCTCATTTTACCTTTTTATCTTATATTTTCATCCTAGAATGTTACTTAATGATTTGGACCGTCTAATATTTAAGTAATTTGATAAAAATCTAATTTTGTAAAAAGTCAATTAATTTATAAATTGTTTAATCATTTGGTTAAACAAATCAAAATTTTAGTACTTAAATAAGAAACATGGTTTGTCTTATTCAATAACGTTGGATCACTAAATAGTTTGAAATTTACTTTAATTTTACCCAATAGATGTTTAACAAGTAACCTAAAGAATATACGTTGGAATCATCGTGCATGACTAAAAAAAATTTGAAAATACAACCGAAAATATAAAATGAGAAAATACAAATGAGGAGGTTACTCGCATTAGCTCGTCCACCCATTGCCAAAGGGCAAGGACAATGGCTTGGAAATTGCCTTCAACCTCAAGATGCATCTCCAACGGGCCAAATTGAAGACAGCCTGCCCAAATGCTTGAGCAGTTTAAGTCCGACTTTGCTCTTGCAGGTAAAGTTGACGTTAGCCACATTCTCAATTTTTTTTTTTTTTTTGTGTCTGGCACATGTAATACACGCACATCATGGCGAGTGGTTTGACAACTTCTGCTGTCGTGGGCCTAGCTATTGCTGCTCCAGAAAAAAGCCTAGCGGTTAATGATGCGGCACGTTCTGGAGTGTCAAATTCAATAATAAGAAAAATAAATGTAAAATATTAATAATTGTTAAAAAAATGATAAAAAAGGAAAATTAGTTTATCTCTTATCTCTACTAATTAATAAAACATTGATTATCAACCAAAATCCTATAAAATTACCAATTTAACCCTCTAATTAAAACAGAACATGAATAAGAAATATGGGGCAAAAATGTAATTTCACACAACCAAATTTTGCTTTTCTTTTTCAAAGCATCATTTACAAGTAATTTTAACATATCTCTAATTAAAAAAAAAAAAAAAACACAAAACTTCCGACTTCCACATTCTCTATTACTCTCTTCCTCTCTCCTTCTACTTCAAAAACAAAAATAAAAAAATTTCTCACACACTTTGTGTGTGCCCATATGCTAGTTAGATATATATACCAACCATCTACATTTATTCGCTTTTTATTTTTAATTATTGTGTAAGTTTTAATAGTATACTTTATTTCCAAACACGCTTATAAGGTATAAAAAAATAAAAATTTGTAAATAGTAATGGTCTTTGCTCTTGAAACGGGCCAACTTGGTAGTGCCATAACTAAATAAAGTTCTATAAAATAAAATAAAATCAGAAATTAAAAAAGAAAAAGGAGAACCCAGATCTAGCAGTGGTTTACCATAAATACGGCGAGAGTGAGGCATTCGAACTCGCTCCGCTCTCTTCATCGCTAACAACTACTGATAGGGAAGAAGAAGCGAACCCCGAAAAAAAGAACCGTTCAAGTCTTCTCTATCCCTCCGACAGGTGCGAGTACCGTTCTTTCGTTTTCTCCCTCCTTCTCCTATTCTGTCTCTCCCTCTCTGCGAGTCCCGTGTTGCTTTCTCTCACCAGATTTCCAATTGTTTTGCCATGCCAATGTGATCTACAACCCTCGTCTCCCGACCCATTTCGCACTTTCTTTCCATATTTTCAAAGATTTGAAATTTTTCTTCTTGTTTTAGGCTGAGATCTGTACTGGTTAGTGTCCATTTCTGTGATTCTCTGGTGGGTTTGGCTTAAAATTTTGATTTTTTGGATACCCTTTTGGTTTGAATGAATGAACAAATTGGTGGCATTGGGATTTTGGGTTGCAGATCTGAGTGTGTTGCGGTTTTGGAATTCGTTGATCTGTAATTGGGTTTTTGGGTTTTGCAGTATATCTCTGTTTTTTGAGTGGTTAAGATTTTCTAGAAGGATAAGGACAAAAAAAATATAGATTTTGTTAAGTGGCTAGAATAAATTCCATTCTTTTAGGATTAGATCTATAAGTGAGAGCATTTCTCTTTGAACTATTGTTATACTTTACTGCGATTTGAAGATGAAATTGCCTGCTTTAAACATTAGGTCTATAAGTACCAAAATTTTGTGTTTAAGGTCATGCTTTCTCTGATCTATGATTGGATTTGATAAAGATAGTTATTCTCTAAGCTTTTATTGTCTCAAATTTTATGTAATTTCTGTTGTGATTTAGTTACGTAATCCTAAATAATTACACTTTTTGTGAATCTGTTGTGATTTCAAATTTTATGGGGTTTAAATACTTCAATTAAACAGTGTTGTGTTTCATTTTTGCTTAATTGTGCTTTGTTGAATGATTTGTATGGGTCAACTTTAGATCAATGAGTTATGAGTTCGAATTGTCCAAAGGCACCTGAATTCAAGTCGAAATGTATTGTTATTGGTCATCGTGGATAAATCTCAGTGCTTTTACACTTACTATGTTGTTCTAGTTGTGGATTAAGTCAGCTAAACTTTGTTGCATCTTGATCTGTTCGAACAGAGAAATGGCGTCTCACATTGTTGGATA